CTTAACATAAAAAACAAACTGAATGTTATTCATTTGTCGATTTAAGTAATCTACAGTTTTATATATCAGTGTGTTTCTCTTCAGTTGAGTTTTAGGTTCAAGAATCCTCTGCTTGTCTGAACATGCCCAGGTTAATACTGACACACACACACACACACACACACACACACACACACACACACACACACACGGGAATTTCCTCCCATGACAGCCGGTGTAATTAGCAGGAAGTGGCGTTGCGTCAGAAGCAGGAAAGGTGTTGAGTGTCTGGAGGTGGAGAGCGCCCACTCTGCCCCAGAAACACTGACTCCATTTATAATATTGATTTATGACCGTCCTCCGTCACGTTGAGTCCATGTAGCTGCAGGAAGAAAAACTAAATTAAAATATGTTCCTATCAGCAACCCATTTTTCCATAATCATCATTTCCTGTTGTAGTTTATTTTCTTCTCACAGCTACTTTCACTCTGTTATTGTTTAACTACATTTCCCAAAATGCACTGCAAGAAGCCGAACAATAGCCTGATCTTCCATTTACCTTGTGTAGTGAAATGTATTTAATAATAAATAATAATGCATTTTATTTATATAGGTGACTTTCAAGGTTCTCAAGGTCGTCGTACAAGATAAACAAACACACAACAAAAACAAAACAAGACAATATAATCAATAACAGCAGAGGACGTGTCATGTGATCAGGGTGGATATGCCAGTGTGAAGAGAGATGATTGAAGACGTGATGTAAGACGTGATTTGGCCACTTTATGATGTCATGATCATCATGATGTCCCCCCCCCCCCCCCCCTTATCACCTGAATCTCCTCCTAGAGCACCATTGAGTTCTTTGTAACCAGGGCCCGTTCTCATTTCATCAAATGTCCCTCCTCGACTCCCCTCCTCGACTCCTATCCTCGACTCCCCTCCTCGACTCCTATCCTCGAGACTTAGTCCCGCCCACAGGAGATGCGAGCGGAGGAGCCGAGGAGGGGAACCGAGGAGAGAGGAGGGGAGCCGAGGAGAGAGGAGGGGAAGCAGCAGGCGGTTAGAGAAATGAGAACTCCTCTCCTCTGAGCGGTCATTTTAAAGAGACGTCCATTAATGATGACAGGAGGCACAGCAGCCCTCTGTCTGATGGACAGATGTGTTCATGATGACTTATATATTTACTTTTAATTCATTCACAGTGCGGTATAATGAGACAATAACAGGCTACAGATGCGGACACACACACACATACACACACACACACACACACATAATATGTATATATTTATATAAATATATACAATTTCAGAATCAAACAGAGCACTCTCATAATAACGTAACACTATCAGAGACTGGATATATCCCCCCCCCCTCTCTGGTCGCTACAATGAGGGAAATAAATGACGGGCCAAAAGTTTTATTTACAAGTATTAAAAGTAAGCAGAGGACACCAAACCAACTGAGACCTGTCTGTCCGCTGCATCTACGCACACACTGTACCACACACACCTACACCACACACACGCACCTACAGCTCCTAAAGCATATAATCAGGCTACAGCCGTTGTGTATTTTATTTTGTGAAGCACTAAATGGTTTTAGAAACATCTCGACTTTGTTTGTAGATATCTACTAAACTAAAGCAAATAAAGAGAGTAGGCCTGTTAGACTGAGTGATATATATTATACACACTGCTCTGCTTTCTGCACGGACCTCACAGCTGTTCTCTCTGTAAACATCGCGTCGCGATGAAAGCAGTTAATAAAATAATATCCAGGGGATGCATGCAGAGCTGTGATTGGCTGAGATCAGTCCGGCCGTGCGTCACGACTCTTTGAAACATCTCTGTTGCCGGAAATGCATCCACGAAGGAGCCGCGGAGGACCCATCAGTGTCTCCTCGGTTAGAGCTCCTCCAGAGAGCCTCCTCGACGCTCGATGCTCGGTCCTCGATGTGCATTTCGAGAAATGAGATGTCCTTCAACATGGCGCGCTAAAATTCATTTCCGGGTCACTACCGGAGGAGTCGAGGAGTCGAGGATGGGACATTTGATGAAATGAGAACGGGCCCAGATCTCTCTGAGGGGCGTGGGGAGGGGCTCCTTATTTTCATCTAAAGTAACAGACAGAGAATCAGCACTTTGGAAACAGGGCTGAAACAGAGGGGATTATGGGTAATGCTGCAATGATCTGTTTGGTGTTTCAGCCAATCAGAGACAGGCTCTGGATATATCTGAGACCTGTGATATATTGATGAGAAACAGTATAATAGGGGACCTTTAAAACATGTTTTAACTGTTCCCGTCCTGAACTGTAAAACATCTGAAAATGAAACTTTAGAAACAGAAATGAATTGACCTCATGTTCAATCTAATTATAGTGAACATCAATGATATCGCTTTTTTCCAAGTCTTGTCACTGATGTTAAAACACACTCTTCATAGTGTGTTTTAACTGGGGCCTTTTTTACACAGTGAGGACTTTTTGGGGGAAACTGCGGAGGTTTTAGGAGAGAAGGGACGTTTTTAGAAAGTAACATAACATTGAGTATTTATCCATATCATAACGTGATGTTTCCGATCAGAGCTGCAAAAGAAATGTCTAACACCAAGCTCATTAACAGAAATCGACAAACTCTGGGGTTTCTGCTTTGTAACTTGAGGTTTCTGAGTGAGTTCGTGTGCATCAGATTGATCAGACGTTTTGCAGCAGAAGACGGAGACCGCAAATAAATTAAAGTGTGAATTTGGCAGGAAACCAAAACTGCAGCTCGCTGTGTTTCGAGGAACGAGGAAGTGCCGCCGAGTTTATTCACCTGCAGCCGTTACAGCACTCCTGCAGCAACATGACACACACACACACACACACACACACACACACACACACACACACACACACACACACACACACACGCGATGGAAACAGGAACACTGTATTTCACGTCTGATTTCCTTTGAACAAACGTTTTCTCTGTGATGAGATTCCTTGATAAACAACTTTTTTCTTGCCGTATCGTTATTTTAATCTTATTTACTAGTTTTTCTCGCCAGTCATCTTGAAAAATATCAGTTTTTTCTTTAATTTACACATTTTGTATTTATTTAATTACTCATTTTATGTCGCTCTCTTACTGGTGCCTTCTGTTGTTCTGCTTTGTAACCCTGCAACACGCTTGTTACGTTCCCTCCTGGACTAGGGGTACCAAAGGGAAGTAACAAAATATAAAATAACCGGGCAAGAGAAAAAAAAGGAGAGGAAACCGGTCTGTGAAGCCACAAGATGGACTTTTAATTAATCAAAGACAAAGAGACTCACCAGACAATTTGCAAACTTGCGACAAAACCAAAAAAAATTCTCATGACAGAAAGAGACCACAGTAAATCATAACAATACTCAGAACTTCTACAAGTTGCACGTCCCACGTAGACAACAACCAAAACACTACACTGCAGCACAGATCACCCGCTGCCATCCATGCAGCTCACAGGAGAAGGAGAGAGGGACTGCAGCCTTCCTCAGGTCCTTTATGGAGGCCCTGATTGGGGATTGGGAGCACCTGAGGGAGAGGCTGCACCTGGAGGGAGACAATCAGGGGGAGAGGGACACACACGCACAATTATCCAGTTTTATCTTTGAGGATCTTTTTAAATTGTACTGATCTGGTAAATACTGCTATATTTTTTAAAGATGTTTCAATATGTGTCAACCTCCCTGGAAATAAACCTGATTCTGAAACCCTTTTTCTTTCTCAGTTTGAGACTGTTTTAACATTTATGGCTGTCTTTCCATTTGTTGAAGACTTGTCTATTGCCACGTATAATAAACCAAACCATTTCAAGTATATTAGCTTAAAATGAGCCAAACCTTGTTTACGTGCTGCTCAATTAGCTTCAAATTAGCCAAACGATTGAAGAAGATGGACCTTTTATTGATTGAAATTCAGTTTCCCACTCTGTTATTATAATAATAAGATAAGAAGTCCTTTATTGATCCCCATTTGGGAAATGTTTGTGTTGCAGCAGCATGAAAGATAAGGTATTGTACAATAAAAATGTAAAATACTGTAGAAATAAACAAGAAAGTAGAAAATATACATGTTGAATTACGCACATGAATTTGTTGTTATACATACAAATACACACAGTTATGGTTGTGCACAATGAGAGGATCAGAGTGGAGAGGCTGCCTCGGTGCTTTGCTCAAGGGCTCCTCGGCAGGTGAACTGGCTCCTCTCCACACTCTGTAATCAATCAAATAAAAATATATAAGAACAGTTCATAGCAGGGAATCTCATCACAGTGAAAACGTTATTTCTACATAAAGGAATCAATCCAATCCAACTTTATTTATACAGCACATTTAAAAACAACAGAGTTGACCAAAGTGCTGTACATCAATACATATATAAAAAGCAGCATGAATACATTTAGACAAAACAAATGTAAAAGCACGCGACAATAAAGCCATACTTGTAGCCACAGACTGAAGAACTCTCATACACGATGTAAAAACATGTGTGTGTTTCAGATCAGTAACTATTAGATTTTCTATGAGAAGGCCCAGTCTAATGTCTGGTGTGTGTGTTTCAGATCAGTAACTATTAGATGTTCTTTGAGAAGGCCCAGTCTAATGTCTGGTGTGTGTGTTTCAGATCAGTAACTTAGATGTTCTTTGAGAAGGCCCAGTCTAATGTCTGGTGTGTGTGTTTCAGATCAGTAACTTAGATTTTCTTTGAGAAGGCCCAGTCTAATGTCTGGTGTGTGTGTTTCAGATCAGTAACTTAGATTTTCTTTGAGAAGGCCCAGTCTAATGTCTGGTGTGTGTGTTTCAGATCAGTAACTTAGATTTTCTTTGAGAAGGACCAGTCTAATGTCTGGTGTGTGTGTTTCAGATCAGTAACTATTACATTTTCTTTGAGAAGGACCAGTCTAATGTCTGGTGTGTGTGTTTCAGATCAGTAACTATTACATTTTCTGTGAGAAGGCCCAGTCTAATGTCTGGTGTGTGTGTTTCAGATCAGTAACTACCAGGGTCCGGCGCGCGTGGTGGTCCAGCTGGTGACGGCGCTGACTCCCCTCCCTCAGCTCCACGCTCACAGTCTGGTGGGGAAACAGTGCGATAAAGGGATCTGCGTCACCGAACTGCTGCCCAAAGACTCCAACATCAGGTCTGATTGAATATATTGATGAAAAACAGTATAATAGGGGACCTTTTTAAAGAGGGTGTCATCCTACAATTCTATCTATCTACACACACACACACACACACACACACACACACACACACACACACACACACACACACACACACACACACACACACACACACACACACACACACACACATACACACAAGACTCACAGGTGTGTTTCTGCCAGCTTCCCTAACCTGGGCATCCTCCACGTCACCAAGAAGAACGTGGCGAAGACTCTGGAGGAGAGGATGGTGGAGGCCTTCAGGCTGGGCTACAGCTGCGGAGTCTCCATCCACCCCGAGATCGACGCCATGCAGGGGGAGGTCCGGGTGCCCCGAGAACTCTCCGGTCAGTGTGTGAATAAATAATAAGGAGATTAAAATAACGAAACGGCAGGAAAAAAGTTGTTTATAGAAGGAAATGTCATCACGGTGATAAAGGAAATCAGATGTAAAATACTGTGTGTGTGTGTGTGTGTGTGTGTGTGTGTTATTGTCAATCTCTCAGTTTGTGTGTACAGACAGAGAGATCGAAATACCGTTTCCCACAATCCAGAATACAAAAACAAATATATATAAACGTGTGTGTGTGTGTTCCTGTGCAGGGAACGTTGAGAGGACCACGTGATCCTTCAGACTTTAAGGGGACATATTGGAAAGTGGGGAGTTTTTTTTTATAAAAGTGGGGATGGGATGAGGTTTATGAAAATTAAGAACAAATGTTGGAAAACTGGAGACATTTTAGGAAAGTCTGGATGTTTAAGTACAAATGTTGATTTTTTTGTAAAGTTGATGACATTTGAGAAAAAAAGTCTAGATGTTAAAGGAAAGTGAAGTGATGTATAATTCAGACTAAGACTAAGGACCTTTTGAAGGTTGGAAGTAACGTCATATTTTGGAAAGTAAAGTTATCTCAATCAAATCTCATTTTCCAGATGTGGGCAATGTGTGTCTGAAATCTAACCTAAAAAAACCTTTTCCATTTTCTGGCGTTTTTCTTTCACTTTTTCATTAATATCAGTTTCCCCTCTCACTCTTTAGAGCACCAGCGCAGAATAAGAACTTTTTAGAATCAGAATCAGAAACAGGTTTATTACCAGGAAGTTGAAACGTACGAGGAATTTGATTAGAAAGTCAATATGTTAAAAGGAAACTGTGGATATTTAATGATGTGAGGATATTTTCTGGAAATTATCATTTATAGGAAAGGGAAGTGATTTATACTTCTGTAAAACTAAGGACCTTTTGAAGGTTGGAAGTGAGGACATATTTTAGAAAGTAAAGGGAGCCCTCCTCATTTTCCAGATGTACGCCAAATCCGGAAAATGTGTGTCTGACATCTCACCTAAAAAACATTTCTTTCACTGTTTCATTAATATCCCCCCCCACCCCCCCCCCCTCTCTTCAGAGCACCAGCGCAGTGTGATCTGCAGCACAGCCTCCCAGCAGGCGAAGGAGATGGACCTCAGCGTGGTGAGACTCATGTTCACAGCCTTCCTCCCCGACAGCGACGGAGGCTTCACCAGACGCCTCGAGCCCGTCGTTTCAGACCCCATCTACGACAGCAGTGAGTCCCAAAAACACCCAACCCTCCTACCTACCTACCTACCTACCTACCTACCTACCTACCTACCTACCCACCCACCCATCCATCCATCTATCTATCTATCTAGTCTGCAGAAACAGTTACAGTACACTTCCACATGCTAAGCTAAAGTATGCAGAGACAGTCAGATTCCTGCAGGATGTTTTAAGTATAATTTTAAGTTATTTGTACCTGAGTTTTTTCATTTTATGCTACTTTATACTTCCACTCCTCTACATTTGTTAAGCTTATATCGCACTTTTTCCTCCACTTCATGTATGTGTACAGCATTACATCAGGATAACTTCTGCTCTCAGTGTTTTCTGTGACTTCAGTGTGTTTCTGTATCTGGATTATTGTGAAGTCGGGTTTCATTTCCCTCTTCCTGCCGCTCTGGTTTCCGTATGCTGCAGCTTCCTCTCTGAGTCATCACACTCTGAACCTTCACTTTACATTAAAGCTGCAGTTTACTTTGTTAAGCCGTCTTATTGCATTTCCTTCCTTTATTTAAATATAAGTCTGTATATCAGTATGTAGTGTCTCTACTTTAAAGAGTCCTCTCCTGCTGATGTTCAGGTGTATATCAGTGTGTGATGTCTCTACTTTAAAGAGTCCTCTCCTGCTGATGTTCAGGTGTATATCAGTATGTAGTGTCTCTACTTTAAAGAGTCCTCTCCTGTTGATGTTCAGGTGTATATCAGTATGTAGTGTCTCTACTTTAAAGAGTCCTCTCCTGCTGATGTTCAGGTGTATATCAGTATGTAGTGTCTCTACTTTAAAGAGTCCTCTCCTGCTGATGTTCAGGTGTATATCAGTATTTAGTGTCTCTACTTTAAAGAGTCCTCTCCTGTTGATGTTCAGGTGTATATCAGTATGTAGTGTCTCTACTTTAAAGAGTCCTCTCCTGCTGATGTTCAGGTGTGTATCAGTATGTAGTGTCTCTACTTTAAAGAGTCCTCTCCTGCTGATGTTCAGGTGTATATCAGTATGTAGTGTCTCTACTTTAAAGAGTCCTCTCCTGTTGATGTTCAGGTGTATATCAGTATGTAGTGTCTCTACTTTAAAGAGTCCTCTCCTGCTGATGTTCAGGTGTATATCAGTATTTAGTGTCTCTACTTTAAAGAGTCCTCTCCTGCTGATGTTCAGGTGTATATCAGTATTTAGTGTCTCTACTTTAAAGAGTCCTCTCCTGCTGATGGTCAGGTGTATATCAGTATGTAGTGTCTCTACTTTAAAGAGTCCTCTCCTGCTGATGTTCAGGTGTATATCAGTATGTCGTGTCTCTACTTAAAGAGTCCTCTCCTGCTGATGTTCAGGTGTATATCAGTATGTAGTGTCTCTACTTTAAAGAGTCCTCTCCTGCTGATGTTCAGGTGGATATCAGTATGTAGTGTCTCTACTTTAAAGAGTCCTCTCCTGCTGATGTTCAGGTGTATATCAGTATGTAGTGTCTCTACTTTAAAGAGTCCTCTCCTGCTGATGTTCAGGTGTATTTCAGTATGTAGTTTCTCTACTTTAAAGAGTCCTCTCCTGCTGATGTTCAGGTGTATATCAGTATTTAGTGTCTCTACTTTAAAGAGTCCTCTCCTGCTGATGGTCAGGTGTATATCAGTATGTAGTGTCTCTACTTTAAAGAGTCCTCTCCTGCTGATGTTCAGGTGTATATCAGTATTTAGTGTCTCTACTTTAAAGAGTCCTCTCCTGCTGATGTTCAGGTGTATATCAGTATTTAGTGTCTCTACTTTAAAGAGTCCTCTCCTGCTGATGTTCAGGTGTATATCCGTATGTAGTGTCTCTACTTTAAAGAGTCCTCTCCTGCTGATGTTTAGGTGTATATCAGTATGTAGTGTCTCTACTTTAAAGAGTCCTCTCCTGCTGATGTCAGGTGTATATCAGTATGTAGTCTCTCTACTTAAAGAGTCCTCTCCTGCTGATGTTCAGGTGTATATCAGTATGTAGTGTCTCTACTCTAAAGAGTCCTCTCCTGCTGATGTTCAGGTGTATATCAGTATGTAGTCTCTCTACTTTAAAGAGTCCTCACCTGCTGATGTTCAGGTGTATATCAGTGTGTAGTGTCTCTACTTTAAAGAGTCCTCTCCTGCTGATGTTCAGGTGTTATCAGTATGTAGTGTCTCTACTTAAAGAGTCCTCTCCTGCTGATGTCCAGGTTGTATATCAGTATGTAGTGTCTCTACTTTAAAGAGTCCTCTCCTGCTGATGTTTTCAGGTCTGTATATCCAGTATGTAGTCGGTGTCTCTACTTTAAAGAGTCCTCTCTGCTGATGTTTAGGTGTATATCAGTATGTAGTGTCTCTACTTTAAAGAGTCCTCTCCTGCTGATGTTCAGGTGTATATCAGTATGTAGTGTCTCTACTTTAAAGAGTCCTCTCCTTACTGATGTTCAGGTGTATATCAGTATGTATGTTCTCTACTTTAAAGAGTCCTCTCCTGCTGATGTTCAGGTGTATATCAGTGTGTGTGTCTCTACTTTAAAGAGTCCCTCTCCTGCTGATGTTTCAGGTGTATATCAGTATGTAGTGTCTCTACTTTTAAAGAGTCCTCTCCTGCTGATGTTCAGGTGTATATCAGTATGTAGTGTCTCTACTTTAAAGAGTCCTCTCCTGCTGATGTTCAGGTGTATATCAGTATTTAGTGTCTCTACTTTAAAGAGTCCTCTCCTGCTGATGTTCAGGTGTATATCAGTATTTAGTGTCTCTACTTTAAAGAGTCCTCTCCTGCTGATGGTTCAGGTGTATATCAGTATGTAGTGTCTCTACTTTAAAGAGTCCTCTCCTGCTGATGTTCAGGTGTATATCAGTATGTAGTTGTCTCTACTTTAAAGAGTCCTCTCCTGCTGATGTTCAGGTGTATATCAGTATGTAGTGTCTCTACTTTAAAGAGTCCTCCTCCTGCTGATGTTCAGGTGGATATCAGTAATGTAGTGTCTCTACTTTAAAGAGTCCTCTCCTGCTGATGTTCAGGTGGTATATCAGTATGTAGTGTCTCTACTTTAAAGAGTCCTCTCCTGCTGATGTTCAGGTGTATATCAGTATGTAGTGTCTCTACTTTAAAGAGTCCCTCTCCTGCTGATGTTCAGGTGTATATCAGTATTTAGTGTCTCTACTTTAAAGAGTTCCTCTGCCTGCCTGAGGTTCAGAGTGTATATCAGTATTAGTGTCTCTACTTTACAAGAGGTCCTTCTCCTGCTGATGGGTCAGGTGTATATCAGTATGTAGTGTCGCTACTTAAGGAGTCCTCATCCTGCTGATGTTCAGGTGTATATCAGTATTTAGTGTTCGTCTACTTTAAAGAGGTCCTCTCCCTGCTGATGTTCAGGTGTATAGTCAGTATTTAGTGTCTCTACTTTAAAGAGTCCCTCTCCTGCTGATGTTCAGGTGTATATCAGTATGTAGTGTCTCTACTTTAAAGAGTCCTCTCCTGCTGATGTTCAGGTGGTATATCAGTAGTAGTGTCTCTACTTTAAAGAGTCTCTCCTGCTGATGTTCAGGTGTATATCAGTATGTCAGTCTCTCTACTTTAAAGAGTCCTCTCCTGCTGATGTTCAGGGTGTATATCAGTATGTAGTGTCTCTACTCTAAAGAGTCCTCTCCTGCTGATGTTCAGGTGTATATCAGTATGTAGTCTCTCTACTTTAAAGAGTCCTCACCTGCTGATGTTCAGGTGTATATCAGTGTGTAGTGTCTCTACTTTAAAGAGTCCTCTCCTGCTGATGTTCGGGTGTATATCAGTATGTAGTGTCTCTACTTTAAAGAGTCCTCTCCTGCTGATGTTCAGGTGTATATCAGTATGTAGTGTCTCTACTTTAAAGAGTCCTCTCCTGCTGATGTTCAGGTGTATATCAGTATGTAGTGTCTCTACTTTAAAGAGTCCTCTCCTGCTGATGTTTAGGTGTATATCAGTATGTAGTGTCTCTACTTTAAAGAGTCCTCTCCTGCTGATGTTCAGGTGTATATCAGTATGTAGTGTCTCTACTTTAAAGAGTCCTCTCCTGCTGATGTTCAGGTGTATTTCAGTATGTAGTTTCTCTACTTTAAAGAGTCCTCTCCTGCTGATGTTCAGGTGTATATCAGTATTTAGTGTCTCTACTTTAAAGAGTCCTCTCCTGCTGATGTTCAGGTGTATATCAGCATGTAGTGTCTCTACTTTAAAGAGTCCTCTCCTGCTGATGTTCAGGTGTATATCAGTGTGTAGTGTCTCTACTTTAAAGAGTCCTCTCCTGCTGATGTTCAGGTGTATATCAGTATGTAGAGTCTCTACTTTAAAGAGTCCTCTCCTGCTGATGTTCAGGTGTATATCAGTGTGTAGTGTCTCTACTTTAAAGAGTCATCTCCTGCTGATGTTCAGGTGTATATCAGTATTTAGTGTCTCTACTTTAAAGAGTCCTCTCCTGCTGATGTTCAGGTGTATATCAGCATGTAGTGTCTCTACTTTAAAGAGTCCTCTCCTGCTGATGTTCAGGTGTATATCATTATGTAGTGTCTCTACTTTAAAGAGTCCTCTCCTGCTGATGTTCAGGTGTATATCAGTGTGTAGTGTCTCTACTTTAAAGAGTCCTCTCCTGCTGATGTTCAGGTGTATATCAGTGTGTAGAGTCTCTACTTTAAAGAGTCCTCTCCTGCTGATGTTCAGGTGTATGTATTGATGGTGTTTGTTTGTCTGTTTTTCCCTCAGAAGCCCCGAACGCCTCTAATCTGAAGATTGTTCGGATGGATCGAACGGCCGGCTGTGTGAGCGGAGGAGAGGAGGTTTACCTGCTCTGTGACAAGGTGCAGAAAGGTGAGAAGCATGCTAAAACATAGTGAATAAAATATATCATATGAAGTGTTCGGGAAAATAGTGAATGTCCTCTTCCAATCTGAGAGCAACATGATAACAAAGGTATCCCAACTGTAGCTGTGAACATGACAGGATGTATGATTACCTAGAAGAGCGTCAGGACTGTTTGAGGCATATGATAGCTATGTGATTAACATGATGATTCAGCCTCTATGGAGAGAGACATATGACAAGCATGCTCATTTCTGACGTGGAGCTAATCTGAAGTAAACATTGAATACTGCTTTCTATTCCTCCATCTTGTGACTGTGTAACTCCCTCTCTTGGATATCAGCATGTGAAGGACACTGTTCAGGAACTAGTTGATGCTCTGTATGTGATGACTACTTCCATTCTGGAGAGGATCACAGATACATGGATCCTGAGATTGAAGCTCAAGCCGGGGATGAATTATATTTTTCTAACAGTTAGCATAAAACGACACACACAGGTTGACTCATCATGATGATTTTCCCGTGTCTGTAAAGTGATGATTCAATGAAAAAAAAAAAATGAATTTCCATTTTCACTCCTCAGTTCGTTACCAGATTCTCTAATGTAACAAAGTGCAGGAAATGTAATAAATCAGGTGATACCGCCCCCTGCTGGAGGCTTTCATAACACCTCTGCACTCGGTTTAAATGAGCATTCAGTTATTTTATCAGTGATGTTTCCTGAAACACCACTGATAAAATAGTACATTTTATTCAGATCTATTGACATATCTCCCCAAAAAAATTCCTGGAGTGCTGTTGTTTCTTCTTCCATAGAAAGCCACAGTGTCATTATGCAAACAAACATTTAAAAGGTTATAACATGGGGAAATAAATGAATATTTGGTAGTGATAATAATACATTGTGTGTGTGTGTGTGTGTGTGTGTGTGTGTGTGTGTGTGTGTGTGTGTGTGTGTGTGTGTGTGTGTGTGTGTGTGTGTGTGTGTGTGTGTGTGTGTGTGTGTGTGTGTGTGTGTGTGTGTGTGTGTGTGTGTGTGTGTGTGTTTTCTAGATGATATCCAGGTGAGGTTCTATGAAGAGGACGACTCGGGGTTAATCTGGGAGGCTCTGGGAGATTTTTCCCCGACAGACGTGCACAGACAGGTATTTCTGTTTATATTTAATTAAACAAATAAAATACTACTGGATAGAATAGTAGAGTAATAATAGCAGTTCAATCAGGAGAGACGGTGTTGATGAAAGAATACATATTTATTGCCAGGAATACACAAATGAATATAATGGAGTTTTGGCGATTAGGCCCCGTTGTGCAGGAGTATCATTCGGGAGGGGAGAACCGATCCGATGAAACCCCCCATGGGTCTAGACCCTGGTGGTGGTGAATGGATAGTTGGGTTCGGTCTGAAGGGGAGGGGCTTAGCTTGACCCTGGTGGTGGTGAATGGATAGTTGGGGTCGGTCTGAAGGGGAGGGGCTTAGCTTGACCCTGGTGGTGGTGAATGGATAGTTGGGTTCGGTCTGAAGGGGAGGGGCTTAGCTTGACCCTGGTGGTGGTGAATGGATAGTTGGGGTCGGTCTGAAGGGGAGGGGCTTAGCTTGACCCTGGTGGTGGTGAATGGATAGTTGGGTCGGTCTGAAGGGGAGGGGCTTAGCTTGACCCTGGATTCAGAGGGACAGGAGGTGAAAAGGGGTGGAGGAGGGTTGTGTCGAGTCACCTGAAATGACAGCTGTCAGAGGGGAGAGCAGATTTAAAAGGGTTAGCGGAGCGCTATGATAGGCTTGTGAGAATAGAGCGAAGTGATTGGTTAAGCTGGGGAGTGACGCCCCCGATCACTTATTGAGAGGAGAGCGAGTAGTAACATGGAAATAGTAAATGAATGAGGAAAGACGCTCTTCCTGGTTGAACTCGCGCTGAGCTTCATATGTAGAAGTATGAGTGAAAGTAAATAGTTGTAGTATCATCAGTCCTCATTCTGTGCTGTTTACATAAAACCTGAATACAAATTCCGTTAATGTTCTCTTAATTTGTGAGCTTTTTTCTTTTTAATGTACGACTTATATCTCAGATAGAAATCTAGTTTGTATTCTACATTTGTACACACACACACACACACACACACACACACACACACACACACACACACACACACACACACACACACACACACACAGTATTTTACATCTGATTTCCTTTATCACCGTGATGACATTTCCTTCTATAAACAACTTTTTTCTTGCCGTTTCGTTATTTTAATCTCCTTATTATTTATTCACACACTGACATTTATTACATTTTTATTTCTTACTGTTTTATTCATTCATCTTTTTGCACGTTCTCTTCAGTTCGCCATCGTGTTCAAAACTCCGAAGTATCGCGACCAGAATCTCCAGAAACCCACGTCGGTGTTCGTTCAGCTGAAGAGAAAATCTGACAACGAGACCAGCGAACCCAAACCCTTCACCTACCACCCCCAGATCATAGGTCACCATCATAACAACAACAATAATTATAACAATAACAATGAATACAAATAATGTTAATAAGAATAATAATTTAAAAAAACGATATATAGTACAAAAACGAAATAATAATAACAACAATACTCACCTGCTCTCGTGTCTCTGTGTTTTCAGATAAAGAGGAAGTGCAGAGGAAGAGACAGAAGACGTTGCCCAACTTCCACGACCTCAGTGGGGGGGGGAGGAGGTCTGTACCGAGGAGGAGGAACAGGAGGTGGAGGAGGAGGAGGAGGAGGAACAGGAGGAGGAGGAGGTACAATTATAGAGCAGGGATATTATATAAAATAAAGTGTGAAATGTACAAAAAAAGATCTCAAACTGATGATATAAAAAGTTGAAAATTATTTGAGATTCAAGTTTTTCAAACATTTTGGGGAAAAAACTCAAAGATTTCTGATAAAAAAAACTTGTTGGTTCAAATACTAAAGAAACCTTCAATATAAAAAAAACATTAGATATTTGTTGCAGACTCGCTGTTTGAGGGCTTGATAACCCACTCCCCCTCCACACTCGTTGGTTTGGAACAGCCCTTAATGTGGCGGACCCTCCGCGCGAACGCGCAAACGGAGGGGTAGGGTGTAGGGGTAGGGTGTAGGGGGCGGTTTGGAATTGGGCCTCAATGTTCTGTGTAAATCTGTGGAGTGATCTAGACTCCAGACTCAAACTATTTGCTGCTTCTAATAAACATATCAAGAAACAAGTGAGTTGTCTGACTGAAGTTAATATCACCGGAGATCTCTTATGCTTGAGAAACCTTAAATATAAAAAGAAAAAGAAACATTAAATGTATGAGAAAGAGAAACCTAAAGCTAAAACAACTTAAAATGTTTAAAGGTCCCGGGTGGCAGTATACGCCGTGAAGTGGTTTGCGGCCTGCCAGTAAACCCAAAGCAGAAGAAGACGAAGTGATGTCAGCGGCTCATTTGCGTAATCTTCCCTCAGGGACTTATTCCGGTGTGAACGCGATCTGCTCTTTAGTTTAGGAACTAAGTGCTGGGAACTAAGTGCGGGAAAGTACTTGGTGTGAAAGCGGCTAATGGTGCTCTAGGAGGAGATGCAGGTGATAAGGGGGGGGGGGGGGGGGGTTACCTTCGTTGCTGATTGGCTAATGGTTGCACAAGCCAAAACATCGTTATGACCAGGGCTGCACATAACTGGTGCGCAGGTGCGCATGCGCACCCCCCACCAAAAAAAGGTTCTCACTAGGGCACCCCCCCCCCCCGTTCATAAAGTCAAGAACCCCTCAAAAGGTTTATTTCATTTTAAGGATGCGCACCAAGCAACATCTCCAGGTGCTCCTTTGAGAACCAGGGCAAAACAGTTATGTACACCCATCGTTATGACATCATAAAGTGGCCAAAATCTGATCAGCTCATTTTCAGACAGGTTTTTATAAAAATGGATCAAACAGAGAGAGAATCTTTGTTCCTGAAACTTTCAGAGTCTCTTTCCACAGAGGGGACACATGTTGATGAAGAAGAGACATGAAGAAGAGGGGACACATGTTGATGTAGAAGAGACATGAAGAAGAGGGGACACATGTGATGTTAGAAGAGACATGAAGAAGAGCGGGACACATGTTGATTGTAGAAGAGACATGAATGAAGAGGGACACATGTTGATGTAAGAAGAGGACATGAAGAAGAGGGGACACATGTGTGATGTAGAAGAGACATGAAGAAGAGGGGACACATGTTGATGTAGAAGAGACATGAAGAAGAAGAGGGACCACATGTGATGTAGAAGAGACATGAAGAAGGAGGGGACACATGTTGATGTAGAAGAGACATGAAGAGGGGACACATGTTGATGTAGAAGAGACATGAAGAGAGGGGACACATGTTGATGTAGAAGAGACATGAAGAAGAGGGGACACATGTTGATGTAGCAAGAGACATGGAGAAGAGGGGACACATGTTGATGTAGAAGAGACATGAAGAAGAGGGGACCATGTTGATGTAGAAGAGACATGAAGAAGAGGGGACACATGTTGATGTAGAAGAGACATGAAGAAGAGGGGACACATGTTGATGTAGAAGAGACATGAAGAAGAGGGGACACATGTTGATGTAGAAGAGACATGACGAAGAGGGGACACATGTGATGTAGCAGAGACATGAGAAGAGGGGACACATGTTGATGTAGAAGAGACATGACAAGAGGGGACACATGTTGATGTAGAAGAGACATGGAGAAGAGGGGACACATGTTGATGTAGAAGAGACATGAAGAAGAGGGGACACATTTGATGTAGAAGAGACTGGAGAAGAGGGGACCATGTTGATGTAGAGAGACATGAAGAAGAGGGACACATGTTGATGTAGAAGAGACATGACGAAGAAGGGGACACATGTTGATGTAGAAGAGACATGGAGAAGAGGGGACACATGTTGATGTAGAAGAGACATGAAGAAGAGGGGACACATGTTGATGTAGAAGAGACATGATGAAGAGGGGACACATGTTGATGTAGAAGAGACATGGAGAAGAGGGGACACATGTTGATGTAGAAGAGACATGAAGAAGAGGGGACACATGTTGATGTAGAAGAGACATGGAGAAGAGGGGACACATGTTGATGTAGAAGAGACATGAAGAAGAGGGGACACATGTTGATGTAGAAGAGACATGAAGAAGAGGGGACACATGTTGATGTAGAAGAGACATGACGAAGAGGGGACACATGTTGATGTAGAAGAGACATGGAGAAGAGGGGACACATGTTGATGTAGAAGAGACATGAAGAAGAGGGGACACATGTTGATGTAGAAGAGACATGGAGAAGTGGAGTTTGCATGATAGGTGACCTTTAAATAAAACAATATTATGTGAGATTACGAGGAAATATTTAGATCTTAATTCATGAGAAAAACATACAAATGTGGAAAAAGGGGGAGCATTATCTGTGATTTAAGTGTTAGATCATATGAAATTAAACGTGTGATCATTCTGAGAATAAAGGGTTAAATGTATGGGAAATATACACAGGTTGACACGTACATTACCATTTAAGTGGCACAACTAGAGATTCTTCACTTCTTGAGGCCGTCAGCTGATGTTTTGGGTGCGTTTGATTTATCCTGCAGGTTACTTCCAGGGCTTCACTACCTACAACTATGGAGGAGGAGGAGGAGGAGGAGGAGGAGGAGGAGGAGGAGGAGGAGGAGGAGGAGGAGGAGGAGGAGGAGGAGGAGGAGGAGGAGGTGGAGGAGGTGGAGGAGCAGGAGCAGCAGGAGGAGGAAGTTTCTCCACTGGATACTCAGCTGGTCTGGGAGGAGGAGGCATCAAACACAGTGAGAGAAATACGTCACTCTGGTCCTTAAACAAAATAACTGCAGTGTGGGAAATGAAATAAAATGAGCATCAAATAAACCAGAGAGAATATTACATAATGACTTCTGGCTGGAAATGGAAGTCCTGATGATTTCAGAATTCAACTTTTTTTTACTATTTATTCACAAAACTTTTTCCTCACAATTTGATTACTTTCTGACAATTCGACTTTTTCAGAAAATGTGACGTTTTCCTCAGTTTCACTTTTTTCTCACAATTCAACTTTTTTTCCAGAATTAAACTTTTGTCTCAGATTTCAACTTTTTTTTTTATTTGACTTTTTTTATTACAATTCGACTTTTTTGACTTTTTTCTCAGAATTAAACTTTCTCTGAATTCCACTTTTTTTTTTAACTTTTTTCTCACAATTTTACTTTTTTCTCAGAATAAAAAATAAAATGACCAACCTCTAAACCAGAGAAAATATTACATAATGACTTCTGGGCTGTAAATGGAAGTCCTGATGTTGATGTTACAATTTAACTGGCAAAACTAGTGATTTCTATAAATTAACATAAAAAACCTGCACAACTCACAAGAGGACAAACTTTAAAAATCAACGATAAAATAAAATAAAACATTTGCAAGAAAATAATTGAAAAAATCAAATGTATTCGACTTCTTTTAGTTTTTCCTATGTCCTGATGATATGTGATGTTGCTTCAGAGGGCGGCAGCGACCCGGACGAGGACTCGGGGTCGGGGGTCGCTCTGAGAGCCGCTGCCCAGGAAGGAGGCCTCGAGCTGGGGGAGAGAAGTGAGGAGGAGGGGGTCAGTGTGGAGGAGGCAGGACAACACAGAGGTACAGTGCCTTCATTATACATTACATTATTATACAATATTATACAATATTATACACTTTATATTCATATTAAATACTTTGAGAAACTAAGAACTTGAGGTTTATCTCATAAAATAAAGAAAATCAAAGTCTGAATACATATGGGATTAAAGACACAAATATGATCATTTTCGTGGGTTTTCTTGCAAACGTATACTCTCAGAGAATATACATTTCTTTATGGTATCTTTATTAAATTCTTCTTAATTTCCAATTTAATCTAGGACATTTGTTTCTTGCTATATTACCCTCGCTACCCTGCTCCTTAATTATTATTTATTTTTCACCTGAAATGGTATATATAATGACATGTTACTCTCTTGTTGGTTTTAAGGTGCCGTATTTAGGGCAGCATTACCAAATGCATCTGAAAATCTGAGTTTTGCTGAGTGTTTAAAATAATAATACTGATATTTTAGCCTTTCATTTGCTCTTTCCCTGTGTGTTCTCTGGTGTTCTAACTCTTCCCTGTGTTCTCTGGTGTTCTAACTCTTCCCTGTGTTCTCTGGTGTTCTAACTCTTTCCTGTGTGTTCTCTGGTGTTCTAACTCTTCCCTGTGTGTTCTCTGGTGTTCTAACTCTTCCCTGTGTGTTCTCTGGTGTTCTAACTCTTTCCTGTGTGTTCTCTGGTGTTCTAACTCTTCCCTGTGTGTTCTCTAGTGTTCTAACTCTTTACTGTGTGTTCTCTGGTGTTCTAACTCTTCCCTGTGTGTTCTCTGGTGTTCTAACTCTTTCCTGTGTTCTCTGGTGTTCTAACTCTTCCCTGTGTGTTCTCTAGTGTTCTAACTCTTCCCTGTGTGTTCTCTGGTGTTCTAACTCTTCCCTGTGTGTTCTCTGGTGTTCTAACTCTTCCCTGTGTGTTCTCTGATGTTCTAACTCTTCCCTGTGTGTTCTCTGGTGTTCTAACTCTTCCCTGTGTGTTCTCTGGTGTTCTAACTCTTCCCTGTGTGTTCTCTAGTGTTCTAACTCTTCCCTGTGTTCTCTGGTGTTCTAACTCTTCCCTGTGTTCTCTAGTGTTCTAACTCTTTCCTGTGTTCTCTAGTGTTCTAACTCTTTCCTGTGTGTTCTCTAGTGTTCTAACTCTTCCCTGTGTGTTCTCTGGTGTTCTAACTCTTCCCTGTGTTCTCTGGTGTTCTAACTCTTTCCTGTGTTCTCTGGTGTTCTAACTCTTTCCTGTGTTCTCTAGTGTTCTAACTCTTCCCTGTGTTCTCTGGTGTTCTAACTCTTCCCTGTGTTCTCTAGTGTTCTAACTCTTCCCTGTGTGTTCTCTAGTGTTCTAACTCTTCCCTGTGTTCTCTGGTGTTCTAACTCTTTCCTGTGTGTTCTCTAGTGTTCTAACTCTTCCCTGTGTTCTCTGGTGTTCTAACTCTTTCCTGTGTGTTCTCTAGTGTTCTAACTCTTCCCTGTGTTCTCTGGTGTTCTAACTCTTTCCTGTGTGTTCTCTGGTGTTCCAACTCTTCCCTGTGTTCTCTGGTGTTCCAACTCTTTCCTGTGTTCTCTAGTGTTCTAACTCTTCCCTGTGTTCTCTGGTGTTCTAACTCTTCCCTGTGTGTTCTCTAGTGTTCTAACTCTTCCCTGTGTGTTCTCTGGTGTTCTAACTCTTCCCTGTGTGTTCTCTGGTGTTCTAACTCTTCCCTGTGTTCTCTAGTGTTCTAACTCTTTCCTGTGTGTTCTCTAGTGTTCTAACTCTTCCCTGTGTTCTCTGGTGTTCTAACTCTTCCCTGTGTGTTCTCTGGTGTTCTAACTCTTTCCTGTGTGTTCTCTGGTGTTCTAACTCTTCCCTGTGTTCTCTAGTGTTCTAACTCTTCCCTGTGTGTTCTCTAGTGTTCTAACTCTTTACTGTGTGTTCTCTGGTGTTCTAACTCTTCCCTGTGTTCTCTGGTGTTCTAACTCTTCCCTGTGTGTTCTCTGGTGTTCTAACTCTTTACTGTGTGTTCTCTGGTGTTCTAACTCTTCCCTGTGTTCTCTGGTGTTCTAACTCTTCCCTGTGTGTTCTCTAGTGTTCTAACTCTTTACTGTGTGTTCTCTGGTGTTCTAACTCTTCCCTGTGTGTTCTCTGGTGTTCTAACTCTTCCCTGTGTGTTCTCTGGTGTTCTAACTCTTCCCTGTGTTCTCTAGTGTTCTAACTCTTCCCTGTGTTCTCTAGTGTTCTAACTCTTCCCTGTGTGTTCTCTGGTGTTCTAACTCTTTACTGTGTGTTCTCTGGTGTTCTAACTCTTCCCTGTGTTCTCTGGTGTTCTAACTCTTCCCTGTGTGTTCTCTAGTGTTCTAACTCTTCCCTGTGTGTTCTCTGGTGTTCTAACTCTTTCCTGTGTGTTCTCTGGTGTTCTAACTCTTCCCTGTGTGTTCTCTAGTGTTCTAACTCTTCCCTGTGTGTTCTCTGGTGTTCTAACTCTTTCCTGTGTGTTCTCTAGTGTTCTAACTCTTTCCTGTGTTCTCTGGTGTTCTAACTCTTCCCTGTGTGTTCTCTAGTGTTCTAACTCTTCCCTGTGTGTTCTCTAGTGTTCTAACTCTTCCCTGTGTGTTCTCTAGTGTTCTAACTCTTTACTGTGTGTTCTCTGGTGTTCTAACTCTTCCCTGTGTGTTCTCTAGTGTTCTAACTCTTCCCTGTGTGTTCTCTAGTGTTCTAACTCT